AATAAAAAAGGGATGAGAGTCTGGTAGGAAATGGATTCGGCACATCAGGATGGGGAAAATGTGGTCGGTAACATTTAGGGCAGAGAAAACACTGTGATCTTTGATCTTTAACCAGAGCCTGAAGACTGATCGCTTCAGGGCTAGGGGTGGACCAGGCTTCTGCTGAACACAGGTCCGCCATGCCCTTGGACTGAGGCAGTTCAGTGGCAACAACCATGAGACTTTGGGGTCGGATGGTGTTTGGTTTGAATTCTGTTTTTTCTCACGAATCAGCTTTGTGATTACAGACGTCACCTGATCCCCACCAGCCTGTTTATTAGGTATTAGCAGTTACGTTTATTTTCCAAGGCTTTTGTGTGATTAAAATGAAGCAGCAGCATTTGGGAAGCGCCTGGATCGTGTTCAGTACCATCTGGTTTCCCATCATTTCCCTCCTGCACGTTATACATGGTCCCCACTAATGTGTAAGCACAAAGAACAGGAGTCCCTCCCTGTCCTGATTGCTGTTGTATCCCAAATGTGTAAAATCGTACCCAGCACGTACCACATTCAGTTATTTGTTGACTTAATATTGAAAGGGTGAGTGGGTTAGTGGGTTTGTCTTCTCAAGGGCCAGTTCACAGCTCACCACTTAATAACCCAGTTCTAGCCGGTAGTTGAAAGAAGCTTCTTTGGAGGTGGAAAGAAAAAGAAGCTTTTATGGAGGTGAAAACCTCCACCCAGAGAGAGAAGCACTTAGCATTTAGCATTTAACATGGGTGAATGAAGGACTTGGTGACAGTGAGGACTTAGGGGGTCCCAGGTACACAGACCCCGAGGATTCATCCCCATCGCGAGAGTGCCCTGGTGTCATGGTCACAGATAACTGTAGCATTTGGGGATGAATTCAGCAGCTTCTTTGTTTATTTTTGTTTTATTTTAATTAATTAATTAATTTTAATGTTTGTTTTTGAGAGAGACAGAGTGTGAATGGGGGAGGGGCAGAGAGAGAGAGAGGGAGACACAGAATCTGAAACACCCTCCAGCTTTGAGCTGTCAGCACAGAGCCTGACGCGGGGCTTGAACTCAGCAACCATCAGATCATGACCTGAGCTGAACGGTCGGACACTTAACCGACTAAGCCACCCAGGTGCCCCAGCAGCTTCTTTTTTTTTTAAAGGATGAAGCACCCTGTCTCCTCCATTCGTTATATCGTGAGTCTTACCAGCTATTTCTTGCTGTTTTCCCCAAATCTAGCACTTTTTCACTTCATTTGGAGCCCGGGATAGGACGTACATGATGATGTTCCGGCTCTGGCAGAATGCACTCCTCGAAAAGGTAAGTGCCGCCCAGCTCCTTCCTTCAGCCTCAGCATGCATGCACATCCGTCTGGAATGCTCTTTCCCCCGAGGTGGGGGCCCCACAGAGAGATTGCTCTTACTGGGACATTGGCTTGCTCCAAAGCCGCCCACGTGGTTCGGGAAAGCCCCCCAGACTCAGGGTGAGTTACGTCTTCTCCCACACGTGGTGCTGTGTGAGCAGCCTCGTCGCTGTCTGCACCGAGGCCTTCCTGGACCTCAGACACTTCAGTCCCACTGTTGTAAAATGTGCCAGCATTTGTTTTAGTCAGGAATGGTGAGACACACAGAGGTGGAGGTGACTGTTAGGAAAGGATCAGTTTTCAGGCTTACGGGTGCCTAGAGGCAGAGGTGCATCCCACCATGCAGAAACACACGGGGAAGTGCCAGCCGGCGTCAGCCAGGAGGCAGAGAGAGCAAGGGGGAAAGCATGCCAGAGCTTTTATTGTGATTTTTTTTTTGCAGGAAGCAATAGGTGAGGCAGGGTAAGCAGGCGGACAGGTTGAGGATCAGCTACTTTGAATAATTCCATCTGGCTTCAGGGCACAGAGACTGTCTCTGGGTGCCTGGTACCTGTCCCTGGGGTACGTAAAGCTGCATACTAGGGACCTGGACTGTAAGAGCTGGAAAAGAAGGTGGTATCCACCTCGGATTGGTCAGTCGCGTGTGAAAGATGCACTTCAGGCACGTGATTTTCTATTTCCAGGAATTACCTAACCCCAGGAGGGGCAGTCCCTCCCCAGTGAGCAAGGCCTCAGATCCCGGAGCATCAAAAATACAGAAAATAGGGGGCGTCTGGGTGGCTCAGTGGGTTAAGCGGCCGACTTCGGCTCAGGTCA